GAACCAGCAGGGTGTGGTTGGTTTCCGCAGGTCCTTCTTCTGTCCGACTGTTCTTACTATGCAAACCATGCTAAGCTGCGATCCGGGAATGTTCATCCATTACAGCATCCGTCTTGAGATCCGGCATTAATGGCAAGCCTTTGAAGTGTCCAACTGAGCTCAAGACATCTCATAGTTTAAGCGCGGACTTTACCACCGGAAGNTCAACCGCTCTTGTCTAGGGTTGGGCAGTCTAGCAGTATCTCAGCCCCAGTGTCACTTTTGGGTGGTGCGGCAGTTGGGTTTCACAAGTGTGCTGCAGCTAAAAGTTGGTCGATTGATTGAAGTGCCCAAACCGACCCCTGTTCACTGCTGGGACAAGACTGCCACCCATTCGCCTGTGGCACGGCACCATCAGGCTCGCTGAAGCATTGGATATCAGACCGAACGGTTGCACTGCTTAAAATTGGGAGAAATATCCCAGGCGATCATGAACATAACTTGAAGTGACGAATTATTAGACTTCAAGTGAGAGTGAGCGTGCGAGCCGAGCGTGAAATGTTGTGGACACAGAAAGCCAGGGATTTAGAAGGGGGCCAACGATTCGGTAATGCCCGAATGATCCGCGCAACCAGTCGCCGGAAACTATCTGTGAGCGAAACCCTCAAGGATCGAAATGGAATGGCCATCTTGAGTAAACAAGAATTCTTCGACTGTTGGGCCGAATACTTCTAACAATAGTTTTCGTAATCGCCTGCTGCCACTCATCTGGAGGCCATAATCGACGTAGAATCCTGAACGGTTAATGTGGACCCCATTACGGTCTCGGAGGTTTATGACTGCGTATGTTCTCTCAAGCGCAACCGAGCTTCAGGTCCGGATGACCTCCCACTCGTACTGGTCACAGATGGAGGTGAGATCCTCAGTCAGCGTTTTTTTTTTGCATTTTGGAAAAGGTGACTATACCAAACAACTGAGGGAGTCGGTGATCGCAGCAGTTAGGCACCCAAAGGGTCTTACGACCGAATGGGGGTTTGTTTTTCATCACTGTTCTGTTCGACCTTCTCATGTAAGGCGTTCGTCTATGGGTCCCCCCTGCGCCCGTAAACTACTACCATTTAATAAGAATTCCTGATTCCACCAGTATTCACTTTTACGGGCATATGTCATGGGACCTATAGATCTCAACTTGTGCCTTGTGTAGTCTTCACTGTGTGAGATTTGCGTGCTTTGCAAGCACATCCGTAGAAACCACTACCATTAAAGAAGAATATGCTTGGCTTTGACAACACCGAACTCTCTGCGAAATGTGTTGAAAGATTGCCGTCTTGTAAAAAGCATCTGTCTCGACATAAATCTGCCACTTAACGTGGTGGTCGGGCTTAACGTGGTGGTCGGGCTTGAGTGCTGCAATGATCCCGCGGATTATATTGGCTGGAACTTGTTTTACAAGGTCAACCATGTCAGGAAGGCCAAAGCGAAGCAATCAGACCCCACAGTACTAGTAATCGTGTTACGAGGCAGTCTAGGGTTATGGTGTGAAGGTAGTAAGGTGTTTCCTCCAGGAGACCAGCACGTTCATATTAATGGAGGCAGCAGTGCTGCTTTCCCCGGAGGAAGGACGGCTTAGAAAAGGTTAGTCCCAAAGAATGTGCACTTCATTCACTCAACGGATTACCATGACTGCCACTGAATTGTTCAATATGGTCGAAACACTTTGAAAACCATAGTTTGGCGCTGCTCAAAAGACACCCGTGCGCAGCCGCGCCAGAAGACGTTTGGACCTTACTCCCTACGCCTCGGGTTAGGCTAACTCCCTGTAGCCGAACAGATGAGTAACCGGTTGGGTCCCCGAAAAAAACCCTATTGCCCGCTGCATCGCGGGTCAGGCTTTTGAGTCACAGGTTGGTGGCAGGATCCCCGGAAAAACCTTATACCCTCCCTATGTCTTGTGGATAAGAGTTTTGGGTCAAAGGATCAAGGTGGGGTACCTCAACGAAACCCCCTCTTTCTTCCTGAGCAACGGGGAAGTATCATTTGCCCGCGTGGTTAATCGTCTACCGATGTCCCTCTCCCACCCTTTCTCACCACACAAGCAAGCGTAGCTAGGTTATTTGATTGACAGCTCTCTGACCAGTGGGCCTCATGCACCCCGCTACCCATTAACAATGAACAAAATAACACCTTGCCAAATCCACGAGATCCTTCTTATATAGATGCTTTTAGCGTCAGTACTGTATGTCAAATCGGCAAACAGACAATGCTTGCCGAGACCATATACTCCTTTAAAATTGATGTGTGCTATTTCCCCGAAAGACGCATACAAGACCCGAGCGTCATTACGCATGTCAAAACGCCCAGGAATGACTCAACTCTTTCACAATACTCCAACTGTGTCCGGTGATCCAAAAGCAATGTCTCGTGGAACATATGGAGTGGGAATTGCACTCAGCCCCAGAGCTGAACGCGCTTTGCTGGATTGCAGAGCCATCTTTGTGCCGTCCGGTTATCCAGTCCAATCAAGCTCAACTCCTTCCGACACAACGAGCGGTGCCTGTTTCTAGTGTCAGCTTATGCCCCAACGGACTGCAGCTCTGGTGCTGAGAAGCATACTTTCTATTAACAGCTATCCAGGCTTATTCGTCGAGCAAGAAGCACTGACATGGTGATTATTGTGGGCGGTATGAATGCAGAAGTCTGTCGTCCGGGTGGTCGATTTGGAGTCGATGCTGGTCGCACAGACAACGGAGAGTGCCTCCAGTTGTGTGCTAATTACAAACTGTTTCTGACTAGCACGAACCTTCAGCATAAGCGTTCGCATCGCGTAATCTGGCAGCCATCAGCTGCAAGTCAACCGTGGGCGCAATTAGGTCACGTGGCCATCAGCCACCGGTGAAGAGTCACGATTCAAGATTGCCATTCGTTTTGGGATACACAACTGGATTCCAGTCTGCACGGCGCGTGCACGCTTGACAGTTCGTTTCACCTCAGGCTTTCGCAAGCCAGCAAGAAGCATGCAGCATTTTCGGAGAACTACTATAGCTCAACAGCATAGATCTGAACTAGCCCAACAACTCTCTACAATAAACCAATACTGTGTTGGTAGTGAGCACGTGGATGAAGCATGGCAAAATGTGAAAGGAGCTATGCTAGCGGCGTTCACTACTGTCTGTCCGACTCCTCCGATTTGATTAAGCGAATATTGTCGAGATCGTTAGACCTGATTGATGCTGAGAAATCCGTGCCAGCAAGCAACGAATACGACGGCGCACGCACATCCTCCAAACGCCAAATAGTGAACAGCCTAAGGAAAGACCGAGATCTCTGGTCATCATCATCATCAAAGACAGCAACATCAGTGTTGGCACTGATGCTTCACTGCCGTGCACCCATAAGGTTCATCTAGTTATATATATATATATGTATTAAAAGCCCTACAGTGAAGAGAAAAGAGTGGGTGAGGGAGGGGACCTAGTACTGGCCTATGTCAAGCATACCAGAGATCTCTAGTGGACATTGTAAGCTCTGGAAATGGAGAAGGCATTTGTTGAGGGAACAGCCGTCCCTTATACCGGTTGATACCATAGGAAGGCAACGGTCAGTGAAACAAAAAATAAAAAAGCAGTTCCCTAACTCACCCTCAAAAAAGTCTACTGAAAAGATGGGCCGAACACTTCAAAAAACAGTTTAGCTGGTCTCCTGGAACACAGCCTGTGGAGTTAGTTCGTAAGGGCCAGTGGAATATAAACCTTAATCGCCAGTTGGAAAAAGTCAACTACGAGGTATCCATACTGAAACATGAGAAGGCACCAGGACTGGACAGTCCGTATCCAAACCTCTTCGAAGAAGGCGATGACCCATTCAGCTGGGTTTATTCGATATTGAGCCAAGAGCAAGTGCCTGAAGAATAGAGCACGTCGATAGTTATATGTACCTTTAAAAAGGGTACGCGAACGCTGTGTGAAAACCACCGCGGCATCGAAGGTGCCCTCTAGGCTCATCCTTCGAAGGTTGACTGAATACAGTGAAACAGATCCGCGAAAACCAAGCTTGGTTCCGTCCCGCAGGAGGATGCATCGATCACATTTCACCCTCTGACAGATTCTGGAACAGAAACGCTGCTTTCAGCGACCAGCAAGCTGTCCTTGACTTTGTGGACTCTTAGTCACTAGCAGTGCCTGTGAAGCAGAGGTGTTCCCCATAAATGCTTGTCCATCCTCAGGGTGCTGTACGTCAAATCCGATGGATCTGTAAAGCTCCACCGGAAGTCACTGACTGTGGTCTTAGGAAGTCCCAATCCAATAACAGCCTTGGCGTACTGAGGAAAGCAGATCCATCGATAAGAAATTATCGTCGGTTGGTGGACCGAAAAGTTGACACCACAATCCATTACATGTAGGGTTGAGATTATGACACGGGAACATTCAACCAACACCATACTTCTGCTTCTCATTCCACAGAGTCATTTCGCATCCACAGTTGCTTGGTGCTCCTAAACAGCAATTAAGTCAAGCTTGACGAAATTCGTCGAAGTACGTGCTCTCAACTCCTCGGAGATGGTGTATCTCAGGCAACGGAAACGTTTCGTGAGTTTCCTTGCAACTTCTTGCAACGAGCACATCTAGCATCATACGTGATCCAACAGGACTGTATAATATGCAACAAACTCGGGTTGGCAACGGTTTCCACAACAGAAGATCGTCTGGCCACCATGACCACACTGGGCTCTTCTAACTTTCGTTCTAAGCCTGTTGCGTCAGAGCTGGATACCGCGGATAAATATCCTAGGAAACACTCGCTCTGGAATTACAAGCCATCGGTTCGACAGAGGCGAAGCGGCCAAATCTCGTAAGCCGCGACCGTCAACGCTGTTGTGCAGACTATCGCCGCAAGCATCCACCAGCCCTTTCTTGGTGTTCACGCATGCACCTTGGACGTGGATCGGACGGCTGAGATCCCGAATGATCTTGCTAAATGCTGAGTCACTGACCACATTGCATAGCAGTCGGCCCCTTGTAACTATGAACACTCAGACGAGATGGCCCAAGTGGTTAGAGTGTGAATTTACTGACCGGAAGGTCCGTGATTCGAACCCGACCTCTGCCTCTCGACTTCCCCTGTCTAGGCTTGGGCAACCTGGGCGTTTTTTATAACCACTGTACGACAAGTACGCAGCTTTTACAGCTTATAATAATGATGGCATTCTTAGATGGCACAAGCGAGTGTTCACTTTTTTACCTCTTGTCGCACTACCTCAGGCTTGATGATCCTAATGTATCATTTTCGGATAGCTCACCCCCAACTCTTTCTTGTTGGATTATCCCCATACTGTTACTTCTAATTATTATGGCTCTCCATTTATTGCAGCACCCTTACCTCCTTCACACCCCCGTATTTGGGCCAACTTCATGGGTGACTTGGCTGACAAATACACGGAACAGCTGAATGAACTAACCAAAGCTCCTGGACGTGTTGAGCAGAAACTTACTAAGGCTTTAACACAGTACGGTAAAAAGATACAGGAATTGAGATCCATTGTAAGCTAGTTGGTTTGGGCATTTCTTTACTTCCTGACTATTTTGTAAGGCTTTGCTTTCCGACGGTTCTGATTTATCACGACTCTATCGATCGACAGTATCGCTAATTGACCGGATCACTGAATTCTTAAAGGCAACAGAAGCTGTGGAACAAAAATACCTTGAGCTGGTACCTACTGCTCAAGATTTGTATCAGTGTGCCAAGCCCGCTATAATAGAATATGAAGAAACCGCACGACTGGCACGTTTTAGCGAACTTCAAAAATACGTTGCATACTATGAGTAAGCCAGTCTAAGACGCAATGCATCAGTGCTTTTAAGTTCGGTAATAGATGCTGCTCGATTGTTGAACGACAACGAGTTACTAACAGACGGATTAAAGCAGTACTTGGCTTTTATTCACAACGAAGCCACTCAAGATTCCCGTTGCATATCTACGCTTATGAATGAAACTGCGTCCCACCAGAATTGTCTTAACAACTTGAAGTTTTTGGTGAGGTAAGTACCTTGGTGTCGAATTTTTCACACTATGTTAGGTCTTTCGAACAGCTTCTCGAAGATATGGGTTTCCCTGTAAATCCTGCCCCTGTGTTTGAGAAAGAAAATGCCGAAAAATGGACAGACGAACAGTTGAAAAGCTTTGCGGAATTCTTTCAACAACTTGCTTCCGTGGAGCCTACGTATCCTTTTAGTCGATATGAACTTTTCACTAATAAATGCGCGTAGGTTATCAGCTACTAGCGACGCAAGTAGATAGCCTCACACGTTGCTATGGGATTTCGAGTTGAAAAATCCTCTCATGGTTTCCTGTAACCCTGTCACCTCAACCAACACGGTCTTTATGGCTTTTTGAAGCAACTCTGATGTGCGATCCATTCACTCGTTTCGAACCAAGTCACTGTTCGTTCTCTTTGACGTCAATGGGTTGGGTAATAATATACTCAACCAATACGTTCCAACTGTAATATTCGCCACCTGTGTAAACTGGTGTGAAAGCCCTACACACCGATTTTATAACCAACTCTTTCAATTCCTGATTATATCATCTGTTGAACTAATTTGACTGCCTATGATTTATGGGCATTCATAGACATTCACCTCGCTCTCTTTCATTACTAATTCGGGGAAAGTCGAATGCGTCCTTTTGCGTTTTTGAGTTGGTCACTTCATGGATAGGTGAATGATCATTAACCATACAAATTCATAATCCTATTCGAGGAAAAATCGTTAAGTATTGGGACGTTTGTATACATTCACTTGTATTTATGCGTAATGTTGAACAGTATCCTTATTGGGTAGTAAGGTCTGAGGTTGTTTTTCTTTATCACCCGTTTGCTTGCGACTTTCTGTTTGCTCTGATAGTTTCGCAAAAATGTCATTTACTTGTCGCTTTCCATGTTTTATATATCCTAATGACTTATCATACTAATTCCTCCCATCGCCCCTCGTGCGGCTTTTTTTTACCGCAAACTGACTGCTAATCTGTTTGCTACATTTGAATCATTCGCTTATGTAGTGGGCTGCTCCAGTCTGATCAGATGTGCCGTGGATATGCACTAAATACATACTGTTCGTGTTGCTTTCTTATAAGTCGTTCATGAAATGTTTCTGTGCAAATATCCGAATAAAGTTCGTCAGGGTACAGTGACAATTTTTTGTGTGCAATTTTTTGGCTAATGACTCCATACCAATATGTTCGGACTGAGGGGATTTTTTTCGTAATACGACAAGCGTTCTGTCTTGCCTGATAATCAAAAACATGTTATCCCGGGTTTCCGTCTTATTGAATGCCTCTTTTGCCTCACGGTTACCTCCTGGGATAAGCACAGAATTGTTACACATTCGATGTTGGTAATTTACTATCCAGTGGCTTACCACGTTAATGTTGTCGATCAGCAGGATGCGTCACGAATCTGGTGTGAACTCTACAGATACGAATTCACCTTTATTCACCTATGAGATGCTGATGGTTCTCCCGCTCCCTTTCGAACACAGCCAAATGTGCCCTCTTGACAGTTGGGGTTTTCAGAGTTTTCTGTAAAAAATCTGACCTGTCCAAAGCACACTGTGACTAGTGACAGCCCAGCAGTAAACACATACGCATGCAGCTGACTGATCGCCAGACTGGCCTATGGATTCTGCTACCTCGCAGTTCTCCTATGGTAAACGTCTTCTTGTACTCGGAACGTGTTAAAAATGTCCTTTGGGCTTGTAACCAGTCCTATTAACTAGAAGATCGTCAACCAAATGGTAAACTATGTCCCTGTCGGCACATCACTGGTTCTGCCACTTCCTGTGTATTCCAGTGAACTATAAAGGCTGGACATGCAGTTTGATATTTTTTATTTGGCTGTTGGCAGGTGGGAGATTTGTGGATTTACAAGAGGTTGGTGCATCTGTTCAAGCGACCCAGAACCAAGAAAGCGCTTTTGAAAATGAAGTCATGTGTTCCGTTCAAATAATCGCTCACACCACGCGATATTGTAATCACATGACTAAAGCGTAAAGCATCTTGCACTGTTTGTCAGTACAGCTTTGGCATTTACAGTCCTCGGACGAAAATAGAATTTCTAGTCGACTTGAACAGGAAATCATTCGGTGTACGTCATATAGCTACTGAAAGTATTTCTTCCATGTCTTGAGTTAACTGCAGACATTATGGGATTAAATAAACGTCATAAGGGTTCCATATATAAATCGCAACATTGAATGGTTGGTTTATATTGGCTAACTTGGAGAGTGTCTGCCTATTGAGTGCACTCTGGGAAGGTGTAGCTAAACTAAACTGCCTGTCCTATCCGCCCACGGAATCCCTGTTATGCGTCACTTCGTGCGAAGTTGACACCAACAAATTTGAGGTATCTGTCATACTCGACAGTGCAACACAGGTTCACCGCTTCCGTACAGAAATGACCCCATGGCTTCCAAAGCTAGACAGGAGATAACTAGGAAGCTTCTGGTCAAAAGCCCAACCAGAGGGCAAATTGATTTTGCGGGAACAAATCATGAAACACTCCAACCTTCATCTAGGGAACTGGGTCTGAGCGTGAAATTGGGTGCTTCAATTTCAAGTATCGAAAAGAGATGGAGAACGTTGCGCGCCATGTAGGCGCAGCATTCGAGTTGCTTTGTCACTATTTTGGGCATTTGTCCATCGGTTTCTTCGAAGCATTGACCAGGCATGGTGGAAGCAACGCCGACGTACGCGAGATGGTTTCTGGGAAAAGGCACTCCCGCAGTTAAGCTACTCACGCTGATTAGGTGACGTTTTGTTGGAACATGTACTTCATATGCTGGTGGACCGCCCATCTCACAGTACTCTTTTCACCCAGTCCCTTGCTGAGTGGAAGTGATCGAGTGACGCACAGTCTTTGACTTGGCGACGAACTAATAAAGCCCTATTCGGCAAACTCAGAAGGGTTGATAACTGTTATCCCTGGATAGAGACTCCGGGACTCAACTCATCAGTAGGCGGTGACACTGACAGACACGTCTGTCAGTGGAGCTCCTACATCAAAGCCAACGCCATTAATTCGTAGCTGTCCTGTTTTCCGTTTCTCCAACCAACCAGTCAACACCAGCTAACTGGTTCCTTCATTACCTTTAGTATGTGACTATGCCCCATGTTTTCCTATTTTTCGGTGACCTAAACTGTAACAGCTGGGGCGAACATACCCCCTGGTACATGGTTTACGGTCGATAAATGAATTATACGGATTGAAACGCATTTCCTGTGCTTTTTTTTTAATTTCCAATGGATGACATATTTATACTCGGTCTCGCTTTTGTGTACATTGATTGTGGCATGCTTGGAGAATTAAATGTTTGGTTGGCACCGCCTGCTACATGCTTGAACAGTATTTCTGTTTGACCTTGACATCTAAATAAACAGCCACTTGAATATTTTATTGAATAAACCCCTGGCTGACATAGTTTCGCTTCCAATGCACATAATTTTACACTCCTTGGAGAAGCGATTTCGCTACCACTTTACTGGATCTCGAAAGACCAATCGTCTAGATAAGGTTAGCTCACCTTTTTTCCACCATAAACTACACACATTCAACTCTAGCCAGAATGGTACATGACCCAGATTCTTCAGTGGATCCGTCACAATGACTATGTATTGACAATTGTGGATCGTGACTTTTTGACGTTGTTAGAACAAAATAGCGGCGAAAGGATCCGGGTAAGTACCAGATATTTTAACCCCCCTCTTTTTGCACTGTTCACACTTCCGCACCATTATTTTCAAATTGAATGATCCGATATAAGAATCTAACGATTCGAGTTCTTCATAGATGTCATTTTGTTGTGGGCATTTCTTGATGGTTTGGGCATCCCGATAGCGGAAGTCGGACCCACTGTTATCCGTCCTCGTTGACCACAACTTTCAATCGTAATCTACATTTTGCAATCATGCAGCGTAGCTTAGTACCCACGACCACTGAAACCCAGTTAAACACCTGCAATTCATGCAGATAGTGGTGCGAAGTTTGTGAGGTTCCCGAACTTTTTTCCAATTTAAAAGATGTTTGAGCACCACCGAACTCCAGGGCATCGTATAGTAAAAATTATTGTTCAACGATCTACGTTTACACTATCAGCATAAATTGTATGTTACACGATGTGTTGGCTTCGTTTTGGTTCATGGGACATAAAGCAACCTAGTTGATGATACGATTTCGGGATCCATGGTGGCGTTGTGTCGCTGCCATGTTGCCTGAACATAGTTGGAAATGATACTTGGTAGGTGATCATCAGAACAGCCCATTTTTACTAACAACCTGCCATGTATGTAGTGCCTCTCCAGCTCGAAGGATTAGATTACTTCATTGACAAATGTACACCCAGTGTTCAACATGGCTCAAGAGTCTGCTGTGCCACACAAGCACCCCTGGATAGTTCCTTCGGCTATTAAGGCGCATGAACCAACGTCGCGGCGACCGACTATAGCGTGTGATGGCGACGAACTTGTAACTTAAACTAAGCATCTCCAGAGGAGTCAAACTTTCGAAAACTGAAGAGAATGTTGACTAGATAGCGACTTAAGTACAACGTGCTTTTGGTGCGGCTTTGCACACCAATGCTCTGCACGGCATCATTGAGCGTCAGGCCCACAGTAGTTGAGCCATGCACTTTCATGACTCACTGTGAGCGGTTTCAAGGAGTCACTAAACGGAAATCCCAACTCGCGCAGTGCTCAAACTGGCGCAGGCGTTTTCGAAAACGCACCGTCGAATGCATTGTACACGCCGCAGACCGCTTCAAATATCAATCGCCTTCATTTTCATACCCTTGTTCACGGGTCATCTGTCGGTCCACATTAGTAGCGAATATTGCCCCCTCCCCGATCTAAAAGCTAACCGTTCAACGAAGGCGATTGCTCGCCCTCCTGAGTGGTAGTCCCTTTTGCATGGTTGGACTGTGGTCTTAAATGCTTCTCGGGTTTTGTTTCAGGCTGTGTTGTCATTCGAAGTTCCTAGTGATCCTCTTTCAGATTATAGGCTTACATCCTGATCCAGGTTGAACTGTACGTCTAACAACGGCGCTCTACCACCTAAATAGTCTCTTCAAAAGTTCGCGGTCTTTGGAGCAGAGCACTTGACGTTTGCTACGACGGACAGGGTCATCTGTCCAGTTGTCCTGTTGGGCTGACAATGTCATTCCAAATCTGTTGTGATCACTTTTCAAAGTTTTGTGCATCCATTCATCTTGTTTCCTCATGGACAGACTCAATTTATTCGTGGGTTGGTTGTACTACTACTGGACAAGCTCCAGTACGATTTGGGCATAACAGACAAATTAGAAGCTCGCTACACAACTGAATTCGAGTTAACTGACAATTGGACCAAGGCTATACAGGTATCTTCCGCACAATCTACTCAAAGCACCAAGACTCCCTCGGGGCCCCTAGTTGACAACTTGGAATGGTTCGGTCACCTGGTCGATATCATCCTCCAGACAGACGCCCGTTTAACTCAGTTGGCATATCCGTCTGGTCAGCCGCGCCCCACAGATATTCTCTGCTTGCCGGTTGTGTTTGCTCTCTGGCTTTCAGTAGAACGGCGACTCGCACTTGTTCGCCTAGACTCTTTGCTGAATTCCTCAACAGCCTGGAGCGTAGTTGGTGATGGTGATGTGCGGTAAGTTTCCTATAACTATTCTATTTGATGGGACTTGTCCCCATTATGTCTCCTGAAGGTTGGTACAGCGGCTGACCTATGGTCATTTTCTTGAATTACTGCCGTATACTGACAATGGGGCACAGCTTTCTTTCTAGGCACGTACTTTTTAAAAGGCTAGAAGCACTAGTTGATGGTCTTGTCACCTTTGTTTTTTGCATTCAACACGATACTGTAATGATACCACAATGATACCACGTAGGGTGGCATGGGTGGTAGATATGTTTACAGGCAGCGTATTTGTTGTGAAGTTGGGAATTTCGTGCTCTTCTCGTAGGTTTCTTGAACCGGCTTACCCTAACCGACACAGGGACGACCCAGAGGCTAATATGCAATTTCCTGTGCGGGCTTGAACAACCGCGCATTACTTTTGCTGTATAACCAGTCCAAAAGAAGGCTGCAACTGGATGATTGGAACTATCTACATTATGAAGGCTTTCCTGTACTTATTTCAGAAAGAAATGATATAAAAAGATCAGATATGCAGTGAACTCCCCTGTCAGATTTTGCATCGTGCGTGCGTCTGGTGTATCATGCAGTCACTCCCCCTCCTAAGTTTCACTGATCGACGACAGTGTACTCCAAATAAAGCCAGAGTAAACTTCATTAGGGTTGTGTGAATATAGTTCAGAGGAACACAACAGGTGTAAGCTGATTGTAGACTAGTGTTAGTATTTATTGTAGCAGTATTTTTATCGAATAAAAACACCAGCCGTTTACGCTTTGGTGTCGCTCAACTCGGGTAAGTTGTTCAGCAACGTCGACCTCCATGGTTTGGACACGCACTTCGATGCCAACAGAAATGGAGCTCCTTCTGCTCCTGAGGCCCACCAAAACTGACGATCGTCGTGGTGAATAGACAATTCGCTGTTCTGAATGTCTTGGTCTGCAGGCTGTCTGCAGCCCACGTCACTGGAGCCAACGTTGAACGTGTGCTACACTATCGTACAACCATAGAGCTCATTCATTTTTATTCAAAATATTAAAGTGAAATGGAAGGGATTAGGTGGGAACCTCTTGCTAATCTGCCGCAAGGATTATGAACTGCCTACACCTCCCAGCGCACAGTCAGGAAGTCTGGACGGAGACTGAGACCACGAAAGCAGGCCACTGCGGCTAGTCGTCGCCTCTCAACATCCTCAGCCAAACTCAGAAACTGTCACACGGACCCCATCCTGAGTGGTGGACCGCATTAACAACGCCAAAACTTCACATCCATGTCACACGTTCACCTCGCAGTTTGCGCCGTCCTAAGAGAGTCATTGGGAGCAGTAACCCTTTCGATAGACGACGATTAGGCACGCGTAGCACACGGCTGTACCACCGCTGTTGAACGTACTGGATGTTCTCCACGAGTGAAGATCATGCTACGCAACCAAACACTCGTCTTCTGATTTGCTGACACCAATCAATACTAGCGATAACAATGAGAAATTGCCAACCAGAAATCTGAAGGTCCCTCATACCATGTATCGTAGCCATAAAACAATACAACCATTACTGTTTCCTGGCACATGCAAACCTCGAGCAGACTCATCATCATTCAGTTGATAACTTGGGGGGCGAGATGGCTCAGTGGTTAGACTGCTAATTTAGTTACCGGAAGGTCCGTGGTTCGAATCCGGCCTCCGCCTCGACTTTCCCTGTCTAGGCTTGGGCAACCTGGCAGTATATCATTCCTCGTGCCTTCTCCTGGTAGCATGCGATTAGGCACCAAAAGGGTGCTATAGCTGAACTAGTCGATAACTAAAACGAGCAAGCATGTAGTTACTTTACCGTTCCCGCTAGTTTGACCATCCCCGTTAGCCACAATGCGAGATTTGACATGACCGAGGCCACACCAGAAAGCCACAAGCCTTGTACCCCATTACCCCACAGCTGTGATCTATGGAGCTTAAGGCACCAACACATGTCTAACGTTGCCCTATTCACAAGACAGCGAGATGTACAATCCCCAAAACAGCGTATTTCCTACGTAAATTGTAAAGTTCACCACCTCCGGAAATAAAGTGGAAGGCAAGAGTACAGTAGTCGCCCTGTGAGGGCTTGGGCCGGAGCACTAGCTAGTGGGACGAGTCGTGTTATATAAGGAACAGAACGTCAGATACCACTGAAAGGAGGAAAGCCTTTCGCCGAGCCGTTATTCAATAGCAAACACGAACCAAACAGTTACAAGCCATTGGATATGAATGTAAACATCTCATCTGCACAGAATTATTGAAAAGTGAACACTCTCATGCGTCCTTTTGAACTTTCGTGGACGTTCATTGTCTGTCATACAACAGTAACCGAATACCCCAAAGCGGTTTCATAATTTCTGTAATAAACTTCACCTTCCATCGGATGCGGGGGCGAGTTGGGATAGGGACGAGTCGTGTTATATAAGGAACAGAACGTCAGATACCACTGAAAGGAGGAAAGCCTTTCGCCGAGCCGTTATTCAATAGCAAACACGAACCAAACAGTTACAAGCCATTGGATATGAATGTAAACATCTCATCTGCACAGAATTATTGAAAAGTGAACACTCTCATGCGTCCTTTTGAACTTTCGTGGACGTTCATTGTCTGTCATACAACAGTAACCGAATACCCCAAAGCGGTTTCATAATTTCTGTAATAAACTTCACCTTCCATCGGATGCGGGGGCGGAGTTGGGATATCAGACCGTAAGCTACTTGCATGGTTCATCAGTAGTATACACTAGGAGATTACTATCCTCGATAACCTACTACTACCATAATTACCCGAGAACCGAGTGGGAGACATGCTGCGCCCGATTGGTACTGCATTTGTGCACTCAGTCCACCGGACTGAATCGTGGTCACTGTCTTTAAACCTTTGAGTTCTGAATTTTTCTTATCACATCGCAGTATCAACTACCCTCAAAATTATCTCAGACGTATTCCGTTGTCCGTATGTTTGATATTTCATTTTCTTTAAGGGGCTTAAAGCATGCGTACTAGAATAATGCCCTGTCACAAGTTAATTTTGAGTCATAAAAACGAATTTGAATTTTGGAGCTCCTATATGCGACAGCTTTACGGGGAATTCGTACAGTCCGAGCCTAGCATGCAGTTTCTTGCCGCTCATCTTGAATTTATAATTTTTCCTGTATTTTGAAGTCCAGACAAAATATTGAAGTACATCGGAGTGGCTTTATGAGGAGCTGGCGCACAGTATTTTGCTAAACGTAAGAAAATTTGATAAGGATGCGAGACTTGAAGCCCTCGATCAGCTATGAACCCATATTACAGCGGTCTGTCGCTTTTCAGTCCATTGTGGTGAAATGTGTGTCTTTTAATGCGTGTAGCCTCACACCCCTGGTCTTTTAGTCCCTTCGTCAATCAGTCAGAGGCGCATTTAACCAGTTTCACAAATGCTCTGAGTCCTTGTCTTGCAACACCAGACTTCGTAAAACCGAACTTTTCGTGCCATCTTTCGGAAAATGCACTGATGTTTACATTGTCACCAAATGTGTGCGACAATATGTCAAGTATACTGACGGTGGTCATCCATCATTTTGCGAAATTTCACGCTTGATGTGCAAAACATCTTCGCCCGTCATGCTTACATCCTTACATCTTACACCCTTTTATCTTCCCTCAACGTACTACACACGTCGTGCTACAGCACGCATCTGCAACTGTCGTACTCATGTTCCCATCATTCCGCAGCCCCGACGTTCCTTCTGGTGATGTATTTCACCTGTTGACATGCAACTGATGATAACCTGTCCGTATCTCAGAGAAGAGACGTTCAGCTGTAACAACCTTTTGGTGCCTAGCTGCCATGCCACCCGGAGGAAGCACGAGGTCTGGGATACTGCCAGGTTGCCCAAGCCTAGACAGGGCCGTATCTCAGAAGCTTCCGCTCATTCTGTGTAATACTGAATCAATGGGAAATAGATTTTATCGGTATGACGTCCACTAGCTACGAGGGTAGGGCCTGTTTGGCGTCGCGTGTGCTTTCATTGTTCACAACTGCCGTCTGTCTTGGTATATCGTCGTTTGCCACGCATTATTCGGTAATATAATAGTGTCAAGCAGGGTAGAGTAGAGTGGTGGCCACCAGGCTACCTACGGCATCCAACATCGGGTCGTCGTCTGCACAGGTTGTCTGGCATAGGCGGCCGTAGCATATGGTATTCATATAATCGCTTATCCAACCTCGATAAAGTAGGGGTTCGTCGATCATTGAATGGTTTGGCGTAGTACAGAGTTTCATAAATTAATTAGTTAGTCCATTTAGCTAATGGGCAAATAATGCTAAACTTCAGACAACTCATCGTTATCTGTTTTTACCACGATGGGGTACCAGTATTCCTTCTTTTCAACCTGAATCCCCCCCGCCAACCAATCAAGGCCGCAGTGTGCCGAAGATTTCATCGCCCTGCTTCATGCTGTTGGTTTACGAGGTCGTCAACTACACGATAAGTTGGCTCGTTCTCGCTTCCTCAGAGTTCAAATGAACTTGATCTATATGTTTCATAACAAACTCGAAGAATTTGCACACTCAACTGGAACATCAGGAACCGGTACGGACAATCCTCACCGTGTTTCAGGCATCAAGGGTGACGTACCATCCGACACAAACGCCGGAATGAGCACTCATAGACGACTGTTTGGCTTCCTAGGACCACAGACAGCGTCCACTGGTTCACCAGCGCGTACGTCGCACATGTTTTCCTGGTTCGGTGATACGAAACAGCGGGGCCAGACGACACGGTGGATCGCTGTTTTGAATGCTCTTACTTACACTCGAGACGCACTGTTGGAATCAGCCAACGATCCGGTATTTATCCCAGATGTTTTTGTGTTTCACTTCGAAACCTTTCAGTTTTATGCATTTTTAGTGAAAGTCTCAGGTACTTCAGTTGCAGCTCTTCATAGGGTGAACCTTTTGGTACCTTCTATGCTCTCTGGACCGTTCTCTATTTTTTGAGCTGCATTCCAACCAGATGTCTGAATATGGTGGCGCGTATCACGGTACGGTAGCCCATCTGGACAGATCCATGATGCCGGACAAAAAGCACTCAAGGAGGGATTGTCTGACAACCGCCGACCACAAAAACAGAGTCATCATTTAGCTTTTGGAAAAGTGAAAGGTCGTATTAGTGAATTAATTGCTCATTTGTACCCAGATATCATGCGTTCACTACTTTATTTGGAATGCTGGCTTCTTAGCCTGATTACTTTGAGGGAAAGTGCAAACTTCTCCGCACAGTGGCCTACTTCGTTAGCTGCATATTTTCGATCCTTACAGTGCTTCTTCAACGTTCAAACCTCTTGTATAAATTCGAGTGCTTGGATCCTTGTCCACCTTTAATCACAAGCAGATAATCCCGTATTGTCAACTATTGAAGTGCGGACTCGCCAGAATGATTCTGCCAGGACAGGAGGACAACCGTTCTAAGTAGAGTGATGTGAGCATACATTCTACTAATCTACTCACAAATTAATTATCGAAGTGTCTTTAGGTAGGCTGTCTCGAGTAATCACGCATCACAATGAACTAGCTGTGGCCCAAGCGCCGGCACATCCTCTTTGGTTAGGATGTCGAATTAGTGGAATCAGGAGGCTTGGGTTGGTGATCCTAACTCAATTAAAAGGCACTTAACCTTACAGAAACAGGAAACCAAGGAATACACTACATGATTTTCGGCATTAAAGTATCTGAATGAACTCAACCACAATGGTTGATGAATAGCAGAGTTGCCAGACACCCGAGCTGTTTGCCATTGACGTACTAAAAAAATCGTTTTCGCAGCAAGATTCCATATGGCAAACAAGCCTTCGGTTGTTGTTCAGCTTTATATGGAAGGTTTAAATCGGTTACTTTGTAACACTGTTCTTCTCGGAAGAAAGGGTGGGATACTTCCCCCGATGTCACCAGAACTTCTACCTATTTCTTTATCATATTTTCGTGAAGCTTTGAGTTACATTTGAGAAATGAGCGTCCATTAGAACAACTATGAATCAGGTCATGTTGATTCTGTCGGTTCTTCACGCCCTATTGCACGACACTTGTTGTTTATGATATTTTAGTTGAATAATTATAGCCTACTCGAAATATTCCTACTGGCTATCAGCTCAAGTATGAAGTCGCACTCCAGCTATCTTTTCGATGTCTTGAATCAGTAGTGTCCACATTTCTAGGGTACTATTACATGCAAAAGAAATCCAGAATTCCATTTTTGTGAAAATGCACTAAATGCTTCCTTACATGACCTTAAAGTGCCTAAATATATCAGATTTCTAGGTCTTGGATATGCACCCAGCATTGTTCCCTGAGATTGCATCTAAGATGTGTACTGAAAGGTCTCCACACGTGAACGGTTTAGCTTTTTTTCACTTTTGTGATTGGCTGATAATGTACACTAAAGTCACTTGCTTCCTTCCCGATGAAACTATTTTTTGTAGTACTATGTCACCTTCTGGGAGGACAGTTCCCTTCGTGCATTTTTACGGCAACCAGATCCTTGGATGACTGATCTTGGCTTGGATGGCGCGCGACCCGTGATTCCAGAATCCAAGGTGTGTTTCTTATTGTTCGGTATACATATTCATGTGCAAAGATTAGATTAGATTTTGTGAGATTCCCTCATATGGGGGGATGACATCAAACTGTTGGTTCTTCCTGGTTCCCCGTCCAAATAGGAGTTGTGCACAACCATCGACCCATCGCTACGCACCACTACACTCTCTAACAACGCACAGATGATGCCACCACGATTGGTGATGAAACGTTCGCAATCAAATTGCCCAGCTCGGCAAAAGACCAGCTGCGCTACGTGAGCTACTAACATTTTCTTCTATAGAAAGCATAGGAGTTAAGTTTTCAGCTCAGTGGGTTTCTCAGACCACATACCAGATACTGCTAAACAAGACAAGTGCATAATCCAGATTCTAGGGTCAACGTCTACTGGACGAAATCCTAGATGGGGGTTCGTCACTGGTGGACTTTATAGCCTCTGATCATCCTCCACTTACTGTTTATATCAGACTAACTTCCAAACGCAGGAACTTTGGTGAACTTCTACCAAATAACATTTTGACAGATTCCTTTGAAGTCACCTATCGGGATGATCTGTGAGTCAAAGCCTTTCAGGTTGCTGTCGATTATGGTGTAAATGAAATGGTGTTGTAATCTTCAGTATAGGGTAACGTGCAATTGGATAGACGGATAGCAACATTTTCAGACACGTCTAATAAAGGCGTGCTCTGGTATAAAAATTACTACGAAGGAAGCTACTCGATCTTCTTGGGGACCTCTTCCTGTTGAGTGATTCGTAAAACCACTCTCTAGATTTACAGTTCTGGATTCCTGAGTCCATTAGGGTGGACATGTACTCGCCAGCGTCCATAACTACCCGAATGTCTTACCAATGTGTTCAGTGCCTCACAGGCAGTTAACGCGACGAATGATCCTTTAATCGACGAATGCATACACTGGATCTTTCTCTGGTGGAATTGGAACGTGCGCAACTCTTTCGACTTTACTGTTGTCCTGCCGTCCGCTGATTTCTCTTTTCGATCGTGCTATTTTTCTTGGATGAAGAAATCAGTAGGGATGTCGACGATCAGTTGATAATTAGCATGAAGGAACATGTGCACCGTTTTGGCAAGAGATCAACTGGTCGCTTATGGATGTTCTATCGGACTCCGATGGAACGCCAACTTTCGAGCCCAGAGTCGGACCAAGCCTGAAGGAGATAGTGGTACATTTCCCCAGACTGCAAGTAAATATCTGGTGCCGACTGTAAATGCTTTGGTTGGCGCGGGATTACGTTGAAGTCTGAGTTGCCCTACGCAGGTCAATCGTACCTTCCTGTTTTGTTGCTAGGTGATTAAATACACTAGTCCGATATTATTGTGTTAACTCACTGTTCTGTTCCCTGCTCAGGTTTTAAGCTCATGTTTTTCTCTTCTCTTGGTTTCAGTCACTGGATGACAATCCAGCCTTGGAACACGAATCCTCGACAGGTTGTCCTAAGGCCCCTCTTGGCGTTCTTCATGGTGGCGTTTTTCATCAGGTATTGTTTTCGATCAATAATCCCTCAGCCAAAATAAGTACGGTTAAATGGAACGTGTTTTTGATTCTCCGACCTTTTTCGTTTAGTTTTGCCAGCTACCAAAAATACATCTTAATAACTACGCTAATAATGTTCCTGTATAGGAAATACAGGCTTTCCTGGCACTGGACGTCCTGACATAATTCGCTCTGTTGAGGGTTCCTTTCGTAGACCCCGCAACCGAATTTTGGATGTACGGGTTCAGTATATACCGGCTGATCAACCAGGAGGAACAAGAAGGCCCGGGCGACCTGACTTTTTCACTACTTCGGTTCTTATCAGTCTTATAACGCCTATCTCAGCGAACGCTGTTTTTCTTGTGCTGCACACCAAGTCCCCTTTTGTGATAGGACTAAGTCTATCCATGTTAACCTTTCGGATGACGCTTGCATTCCTACCAATATACCGCAATCTTATCACCGGCATACGTAGGCTCAAATTACAAGCTATCTGCTCTCATCCAATAGACAGTAATGTGTGGTTTGATTTAAAATCGATGGTGATGCTTTTGCTTTTTGATTCGACACAACTCACTTGATGTACGTAGTTTTAGGAAATTCACACCAACGGTTTCTCTTCTGCAGGGAGGATCGACTGCAGCCTGTATAACCTATCAAGCACTCCTGTGTACTCTTCTCATATTTTCTTTCTAAAGGCTCTGAACTTTTATCAGTCCACCATAGACGAGATGCTTGAAGAAACTGTGCAATCAGTGATGCGCGAGATTTGCCACAAAGCCCAAGGTTACACAAGCGCGAATGATTATTGGCTCCGGCCTGGTAGTGCGTCGGCCGTAACCGGTGGTATTCACGTGGATACGATCTCACTTGAGTTGTCCGGAACAGCTTCGGTGCTGCTAATCTGTTTGCGTGACCAATTATTTTTTCTGTGCAAGTCGTTGCATCCCAGACTGTTTGCTCGTGCTTGGCGACGAATCGCTGGTGAGATGGATAATCTGCTTTATCACAAAGTAAGTTCAGATTATACGTACATTCTTTTTCTGCACTTATCTGTGTTTCGGTTTTGCATGACAAAAGCTGTTACTTCCTCCGTCAGTGTCTAATTTCACCTAGCTTACTCAGATTTTAAGATATGCTATAGCTTGATCAAAAGAAACATATCAATAACCGGAAGATTCAGTTGCGTCTCTGTCTAACACCAGCTTAGTTTGCAGCTGAGTTAGCGAGCTGCTTACAATGTGGGTTCAACTAGAACATAGAGCTGATGTAAACCTGGGATGGTGCCCACCTGATGAGCTCCAAGAATGATCATATCACTAGTGGGCTGTCGATGATTTTGTATTGTTGTCAAAGAGTAATTAGTTCCGCTAAGTAGCAGTCCGGTGTTACTTTTTGTGCACCTGCTCGAAGTGACCTTAGCTCTGCACGGTTTAGCACATTGGTCACTGGTTTCGCTGACTACACGGTGATCGGTTACATGCTACAACGGCACCTATTTGGGACTGATTTCAATTAAATGACCCTTAATAATATCCGTTCTGGAATCCGGAAATTAGTTGACACGATCAGTCGCGTTACGATTTTGTTATTACTACCTCAAAGCTTATTTTCAATTTCATTCAAGAACGAAGTCCGTAGGAAAAACAAGAGACCCGTTATCCCTTATTAAGTACGTCGGCTCGCCGTAGGTGATACCTTGGTGAAACGAGCATCTTATTCATGTCCGGAAGTCTCATGACTTACTGCTACACTGCGACCAGGGCTCCATAGAATTTGCCTTGAGCGGGACTGATGATTCCTAGCATTGACCAAAAGCGACCCATTGGGCCACGCAATGTTTTAGTAGTACTGAAATGGTCAGTCATCAATCTACAATAGCACTTATCTTGGGATCGGTAGTCCTCCAACGGTGCCAGTTCCATAACCGCGTCCCATTAAAACTAATACTTCGTTCGAAGTTTAGAAACCGGTTTTTGCGACGACATGCATTGGCCCAAGTTAGTGTGCCATCAGGTCAGTCTATTTTCTGACTGATCCTTATCGATTTGTTGATAAGAGGATATGTCCGTCAACCTTTCCGCCACTGACGGGCGATTTTTAGCCCCAGTAACTTTGTGAAGCTGGATCGAAATTTCTAGGCACCACCTCTGGTTTCACACTGCCTATGGCCCACCAAGCAGATATAGTTTCCGGGATCCTTGCCAGTTTTCCTAACCAAGCGCTAGTTTGATGTATGACGGGTAGCACTTGGAAAGAACTTTTGTCTGCACCGCCTAGTCAGCGTAGCGACCAATCATGTGACGACGCGCCCACGTTTACGCACTGGGACCTACATAAAGAGAAACCAAACCCAGTCAAGACACACAGACTCGCGCGCGCGCAGGGAACCTATCCACAAGTCCACGGACAACCATGGAGTACGTGTAGCAGTCTAACTGCGGAGAAAAACACGTTCCCGCCGTCCGGACTTCCACCAAGGGATTCTCGCATCCGATAAGTTCCCTTTTTGACTTGCTCCCATTTCACATTGTATTTTTTTATACGTGTCGCAGAAATACTAAAAGCTTTTATTAGTGCACATTCACCTTCTGATTTGTATTATGGCTATCATCACCTGTGCACTAATAAACTCAATCTGCAAACTAAACATTCATTCATCTCATGACCATAGACCCGGTGGAGGGTTGAGGTTTCAAGTACCTGAGCAACTGGGAGAAGGTTGCTGTCCTCTTACTTTGGAGGGAGTTCGAAAGTTTCACCGATTCCTCCCTATCTCCAAATCCCGTAGTCTGGTAGTTGGACTTTTTAGCAGACTCCCTCAATAGGAGAAATAGTAATCTAATCTGTTCACTTTTAGTCCTATTAGAAGCCCCTTGAATATCACGTTACTGGTGCAACAGACCCATGGTTGATTGTTGAACTCTCTCGGAACAGGACCAGTGATCTCTTATACTATAATTTTCCTGCTCTCGAAGATTATCAGCGTGCTCTAATGAATGAAACCCGGGTCTCTCTGAAACGTGCTACCCTGAACAGGCCAATAACGTTTTCTCGTGTTTTTACAGCTGATCCTTGTCAACCGATTCAGTCCTGCTGGGGCGGCGCAGCTGCGATTCGACTTGACACACTGCCTATTTCCCCTGTTCGCCTTGTACACGGATCGCCCGGAATCCTGCTTCCCACAGTCACGTGACGCTATTATCTTGTTGAACTTGTTACGTGGATCTGCGGAGTTGTTACGTAATAATCTGCGAGAGCGTATGTCAGGTACACAGGCAGATAACAACCCTCTTGGTCCCCTGATCGAACTCGGGGTATTTTCAATGACACCAGAGGAGGCTGAACTGGTACTGTCTCTACGTGAAATTCCTGACTAGCTCAAGTGGGAGCTAGTATCCTAGTCTTCAAAGTGCTTGCTTTGAATGAACAATTTCCGTCCAATTTCAGACCCGGCTTAACATTCAGAGCGGGTCACAGCAAAACCAGAATTTCTTCGTCATTCGCTGGATTAATTACTTTACTCTGATTGACTCTGTCCATTGTTTTCTTCCTTGATGTTACCTTTGTTACTTGGGTCTTTCCATTCGATCAGTAAATGCGTTTTGATCTGCCGAGAGAGCCGTTTGTTAGGAGGTCGGAATGAGTTCCAACGATTGGTTTCTTTCTTATTATTCGCGAGCGCTCATTGAGTTAGAATGTCGCATGAATAAACAAACATCGAAATAGGTTGTGATACCATGTTTAATAAGCATATATTGACTTCAGCGACGGATGGCCCAAAGCGTGAATTTACTGACCAGAAGGTCCATGGTTCGAACCCAACCCCTGCCTCTCGACTTCCCCTGACTAGGCTTGTGCAACCTGGCAGTATCCCAGCCCTCGTGCTTCCTTCATGTGGCATGGCAGTTAGGCACTGAAACGGTGCGATAGCTGGACGACATTGACTCGAGATGATATTCTAAAGGCCTGCGGGTTGCGACCGCTGTTTGCAGTCGTTTCCACGATAGCAGACACAACAGGTAAACAGTGCTTCCTTATATTGTTCTTTAATGTTGTATTATTGAAATACCCAACATCGTTCATTGGATGGTGTCAACTATCTGGAAGAGTCGCTTTCTTCCTAGTTGATCTTCAACTGTGTAAGGTGTACAGCACTAGAACAGAACACAGCTTCAAGCGGTTAGTTGTAGTTCATAGTTTTGTGTGCTATAAGCGTGTCGGCATTGAAATGGGAACGATTTTGGGGGCTTGCATAAATGGACATCCATGCCAAGATGTTCAGTTTTAACGGGAACCCTAGCCAACGGAAGGGTTTGTTGCAAAATTCTTTTAGATTAACGAATATCCAACAAAGGTCATTTAATGCATTGCATGTATGCAATTAATGCGCTGGGAATTCGTTTGGATTCCAGTAAAGTGATCTCCCGAGCACATGAAGGTGATTCAATCTAATATTCAACATTCAAATTACATTACCTGACTGACACTACAAGCTGTCTTCTATCAAGGCAGCGACAGTGCAGAACATCTGTTAGGACTATTTGTCGTATAACAGCGACCAAAGTACTTGAAGACCACCTAAAGAGTCTCGCTGCGGGATTTCCAATCCCCTTGTGTTCGTTTATAATTTCAAGTTAAAGAGCTTTTTGAGTGAGTGGCGGCTCAGTAAACCGTCATTGCACTGTAGGAGAGGAAACCAAGGTATGAATTGGTAAAGCGCGAGCAGCGTTTGCGAGCTTGCTTCAGGTTGGTTGTGTATATGAGGCAACTACAAGAACAGTCTTGTTTGATGGTTATAACTACCTTAAATGCCTCCAAACGAAGGTGATCACCGTAGCACAACAGGAGTTGGCTGGCTGCAACCTATCATGCTAGTGTCTTGGACGTGCATGGTGGATGTCGAAGCGCCTACCAAAGAAATCGGTTTTTCATCCCAAACCTTCACTAGGAAAAGTTCGTAGGCGACAGACCAGGACGCGCTAATGCGAAATGAACGTGGCTATCACAAAACTGGGCAGTGGGACCATCATACCTTCCTCATACGCAGTTATGGGCCCTACGTTAAATGGGACGTAAATGGTCTCAGCGGCCTTCACATCGCTTCCAGGACAAATCACCGAGATGGTTCGTTTCGTGGAAGATGCTCATGAGCTCCGGTGATGGCCTCTTACCTTGGTGTACTAATCAGCCACGTTCATTCCAGTGTTGTTCGAAAGCGCATTGATGATGTCTTCTAGTATGGTGACGAAACCTTTGCAAGTTTGTTTCCAAGCTCGGAAAACAGATTGACAACTAATGTGAGAGGACCGCCAACTAATTCACATTCCCGCAGACTGCGAAATGGGTCCCTGTTCATAAACCGAAATTATTGAAAGCCCAATCGTGTAATGGTCTCGACGTGAAAAAAGCCTCAAGTGAGTAGATTTGTGCGTTTCAGTGTAATGAACAACAGTTTAAAAAATTCTGTGTTGTGGTACACGCTGTGAACATCCACCTGAAAAGAGGGCGCCGGCCGTCCTAGTACGTCGATCGCACGGCCATGCGGTGATCAATAATCAGTGTTCTGGTGAGGATGTTCGCACAAGGCACATAACCCAAGCAAGTCGCAGATTTGCAGCAAGCTTCAACTACTGTGACGTTTATGGGTGTTTATTATTAAAAAATGAAAACAATCCAGAAAATAAGTTACCTATCCAGGGAAATATGACTTTATGATTGAAAAGGGAGAAGCAAAAATATACACGATTTTTGTTGAAAGCACAATAGCAAGAGCAGGCAAGAAAGTGAGTATATTAGTGTGCTATGAGGAGCGGATAAAATTGCATGCGGGAGATGCCAAAAGTTTATACGAACCTGCCTGAATCTTTGAAAGCAAATCACATGATTGCACTGAGGAAGGATGAGATCGATGGGTTGTTTTCCGGGATTTTTAGTATCAAAAGAAAGTATGCTACCATGTCCAGGAGAATAAAATGCGTGGACACGAAATAAAAGTATAGTGAAATGAATTACTGATGATTGAGAAGCCGTAAATCACCGCTACTGCTGAGTTGAAGTTACTGGATCTTCCAGAACCCATACATTCGAGGTATCCGGTTCCATGCTTGAAGGGCGATCAAGGGTGCTAACAGCCATGCGTAATGTTCCCTCACCATTGCGTTCGTCATCTATAGGACCAACCGTGCACGAGTTATGAGACGAGCGAAGCACACTGTCATCGGCAATAGTGCTCGATTCGGTGCACGTTGCAACACTTGCCGTGCCAAGTTCGATAAACAATTCCGAATCGCCCAATGCCAGCGTGGAAAGAGTAGATGTGCAGTCGGCAGAGTCCATGGACCTGAGAAAAACAAGAACTAAGTCATTCAAAATCTCCACAGACAATTTGAGTTGTCTTGTTCCAGTTCAAAATGACTACTGCCATGATTTTAACTTCAAAAACAAGAATGGCTAAAGAATAAAGCAGCAATGGTTACTAGTGGTTAGCACCGGAAATAATACTCTTGGGTTGCGCCGTCACGAAGCGGCTGGAGCTCATAATGGTGCGACAGTTTCCGAACTTCAGTAACCCAGTGAGCTGTGATAAAGGGTACCGACCCAACATCTAGAGAATCTCCTATCAACTTGGTCAGTAGATAGAAGTCTGATAGGCACGGTCTCCTGGCCCTCTAGGTTGAGAAGTGGGACAAGTGTGCCAGTTAGTTCATTCAAATTTGAGCTACTCAGTTAGTCTCACAAAACACCACTGGCTTGTGGTTACACTTGAGCCACTGGTTGACGATCCTACTCACCTTTCCGTCTAGGTTTGGTCGCCTTGGCAGTGTCTCAACCCAAATACAACTGCAAATAGTGCAAGCACTAATACCTTCATGCCACAACTGGGCGCCTCATTTGCTGTATATCGGGACACAATGGCATGATCAGAGTCAAGTTACGCACACCGGAATGAATGGCCCTCCAGCCACGTGACTGTCTTCTGATTAGTTGCTTCCAAGTAACTCGATGTGAGCGTTTGTGACGAAAGTTCGGGTTAGCCAAGAACACGGTGTCCATCATGCAACTGAATAAATCGCTCTCCGCTATTCATAAGATGAACATCGACGCCAAATCTACCATTAATTGTGCGAATGGCGATGAATACGACTGAAACTAACAATATCTCACAATTTCCCCATCGAGATTTGCTTCATTCACTAGAGGTTTTCAGGTTCCTGCAGCTTACAGGCACGGAAATACGAAGTCATGTGCATACTGTTGTCAGTTGGGCTCACACTGGGGCTTCTGACACCGGACAGTTTTTGCTTGAGCTAGTTTCTTGATTTTAAAATCTGACTCAAAAGTCAACTGGACGAAATGCGGGACTCCAATTGCCATTAGGATTGTTTGCTGTCTGTGCTGTTTGCATGTTCATCGAGCCTCGGTCAGGTGCACAAAATGAAGCGGTTTGAAAACAGTTTATCCGACCACCCCAGGTAAATAAACAGTAGTTTTTATGACAACTTTTATCTCCAGAGTTGTTTGCGATGAAGAAGAGTCGGGAATCAGGATCGAAGTTTACTAAAAATGCATAGAAAGTGAAGCTGATGAGACCCAACACCTTATGACCCATAGAGATATGGCCTAATCGCAGGCTAGAAAAGTCAATCTGATCACGTGACAGTGATAAATCAATCAGCTAAAAAGAATCATTGAGTACTATAGCCGCTTATAGGTAAATGTGAAAACCTAGTGAAAATTATCTGGATTACGGTATCACGATATACTTTGGAGATTCTTTTTTGTGCACGAGTTGAAAGCGACTCAACGAAACCTTCGCACTTACCTATTACCTCCAGGCTGGTTTTTCGACGAAGATGGGTCAGTGAAGGCACAACATCTGAATACATGATCACACTGAAACAAAAGTGAGGATGGATACGAAACAGATTCAGTTAATCGCCTTGGGGCCACTGTATACTAGTTTAATAGGGGCACAAACACACAAGTGTAGTGCCCAGATTCGATCAGTTAAGGCAAAATTCTTGTAGTGCATAACCGACTGATGTAAGCAGTTTGCTCTCGCTCCATAAAGGCCTTGGGAAAATTGGCAAGGTAGACAGGTAAAATAAGGTATGTTTACGCTTCCAAGCCTATAAACTTACAAAGTTAACCACCCAAAATGTGTGTGATTGGAAGACAACTAAGCTGTCATAGCTGTTCAGTAGCGCGATAAATTCGAGACATGAGCAGTTTACCTGCGCTTCCAGCTGGGTTCTTTGACTGATCGCTTCTTCCAATCGCTCGTATAATTGGTTTCGTTCTTCTACGAGAGCTTTAATTCGATGTTGCAGATGTCGCAGCTGGGCAGCGTGTTCATCCTGAGTGGTACATAGTTTGGAAGCAGGTAGACGTGCAGCCTAAAAGTATCCGAAAACGGGACAACGAGATGTGCGGAGAAGTGAGGAAAATTCGATTGGTGAGAATCTGTCACGGGATTGATTGATAAACTAAATCACATAAAGTAACTACTGATTCTTCCTTACCGAGAGGCAACTTGCCCCTGTTAGGGTTGTCTAAATGTACCGAATGGCTTGGCTCTGTTACCAACGAGATAGGCTAATTGATTGTTATCCCCTCCACTTCCCTGCGCATGGCCAAGTTAAAGAGCTTAAAAATTTGGATAGTACATGCCCGCTCAATAAACCTCTCCAGGCGACTGCAGGAGGAACCAGAAGCTCAGTATAGGCAAAAAAGTGCCCCCGTTGAAACGGCTTCAGACGTGAGAATAAAGCGCGTCAGAAAACATTCAGAGCAACGACGCATATGGTTTCACATTACTGGCAGCTACCCTTCTCGATGTTCAATAAACGGCTAAAAATCCAACGCAAAAATTAACGATCACGGTGGGACTACATTAAATTACGTCCACTTCGGCACGTGGTGACCAAGAACTCGTGTTTAACATACTGGAGTCTTCCGTATTCAATGCCGAAATAATCCGCCTTCTGCGCGCTAGTTCAGTTCCAGAAGCGTTGATCTTTGTTAAGACAGTTTTTCACTGCTCTGTGAACAGCCTTACCATAGTCCAACTAGTTTTGTTATTTCCGAGCCATAATGTATGGGGAACAGGAAAAAAAATGCATTTTCATGCTCCCTTTCTCTAGTGCTCTCAAGATCGTGACCTAACCGCACAAACCCATCCCCCATCCGTTACGATACCGAGATGCACGAAGATCTTGTCATATTTAGAGGGGGGAATGTGAGGATGAACAAGCTATGCCGCACAATGTTGAAATGAACAGGTATGTAGTCCTAGTGGTCAAGAAAACTTTTCAAGCAGGTATGTTGGAGTGAATTACTCTGTTTCAATGATTGCCATTTTTCTAAACACAAAAAATGCAATCTATCCTAATCAATAGTAACCAAACCCTCGAATATCTTGGAGGCTAGTTATGTCAGTTATTTTTGTTTCAACCTGGCGTTGTCCTAATCAATAGTAACCAAACCCTCGAATATCTTGGAGGCTAGTTATGTCAGTTATTTTTGTTTCAACCCTGGCGTTGAACTACTGTGAGTTGCGCACATCAACTGTATCACACAATGCGTTCAAAGCGAGAGGGTGCGTGCGATCTGGGGAGAGAAAATATCGTGGATTAAGGATGTAGTAAGCTGACCTTTTCGCAATATCACGTCGTAGAAAAATAGCAAGTGGTGCATCAGCTACACAGTGCGACTGTCTGACTATACGAAAAGTCAACACATGGAGGCTCAAGTACAGTAGGCCGGATAGGCGGATAAACAGCGATAAGCGGCGGACGGCGAGCTAGAAGTGGTTCAATTATGAATCAATCGTAGTGAATGCTACTCAAAGCGCTCATATGCGGGTGACTCAGACAAAGGATACTTCAGCCTAATTGAGTGACTTCGACCAGGAAAACCAAACCAACTCGAATGTTATGCACAAATGAAGCGTTTGCCACGATTTTATCTGGAAAGTTCAACAACCGGTGTTTTTCACTTTTTCTCCTTTTTCCTTTTTCCCGCTGCTTCTTCACTAGTTCCACGTTTCGTAGAATTCCGCACCGCACGGAAAATAAAAGCCTCTGGTGATGAGCGAGAACCTTTTTTCGCCATTTAAACTTTACACAGAGAGTGTGGTTGTGTGTGCAGACCGCCTACGACCAAAGAAATCTTAGCGACGATGATCCAGTGAATGTTGAAACAGAGAAAAATCCAACTGACATGAAATTGGCTCTGTATTACATCAGAGCTGCAAGGAAATCTGTAGTCCAGTTCAGTCACATCATTGAGTTGCCTTTAGTTTCGGATTTCGATTATCATCATTATCACCATCAGCAGCGTCGTACAGCTGTAACACCCTTTCGGTGCTTAACTGCCTGACACAGGTCTAGACAGGGACAGTCCAGGTGCCGAGGATGACTTCGAACCAAAGACTCTCCGTCAGTGGGTTCGCGCCCTAACCACTGAGCTACTTCGAGCTCATTTATCACTGTGAATTCTACCACTATGCGTTCACATAAGCAAGCACTGTTGCCGAAATGCATTTGTGAATTGTTCAGGTCCAAATAAAGTGCTACACAACACGAGGAGCTCATGGAGAAATGACTGGTTTTCTCCCTGCTGAGGGGATACCTCTCACTAAGAGGCAGTTTTTGTGCTTCTCCAAGGAAAGAGTACCATAAGTGTAAAGAAGTCTCCCAAAAAGAAAATAGTGTGACGTTTCTTTGTGAATTGCTGAGTTCGCCACATAAGAATCACTAATCATTCGTAAACTGCTAGCTTGTTCATTCCGGTTAATCCTTGGTCTACATAGAAGCTGCCATTGCTTCGCGAAAATTTCAGCTCCATGACGGCTTTTACTATCAATGGAATTACTAGATGGGAGTCTGACAATTGGTACGTCGTTTCTCTCTTCGGTTTCCAGGATTGCGTAAGGTGCGTCCAAATCGCTTAGAAACTGATAGACTGAAAGATCCGGAGTCTCTTCGAACTGAGTGAGTGTCCAAAGAAGTGTAGGCAATTCAGAGTGATTGTGTTAGGCTAGAACTAACTCCATTCCCCGTCCGCTTTTGTTCTTTTCTTCACCATAAGGCTTTGAAATAAATCACGACTGTCAGGCAGCGAAGCATATGTTGAACACTGATGCTATGCCGTCGATGATGATAAATTTACGACATCCGGTTGCGTGACTTTAAGCCAGCAGTTTACCAGTTGCATAAGAGCGACCCACAGTTTAACACTGTATACCGTCTATATGATGAACTCCACTAAGAGTACCAGATCAAACGTTGGTAAGGTTCACGAAAATCGACCGAACCTTTCATGATTGTTGGTTGAATGCTGAAGGGTATTTAATTATGCGTTCTTCTCTGTTACATTAGCATTAACTAATAATTTGTCCGTATCAGTCCTGCTCATGCAGATCCTGCAACTTGGTTTTAAAACGACCTTGAGTCAGTTTAAGGAAAGGCACTTTAACACGGCCGTGCTGCTGTGCGCAGCACTTGCCTTCCACCGCACAATCATCTGCTTAGAAGGACCGCATTCAGCTAAACTTTTCAAGGTTGTAATAGAGAGCGGACGGCACTTAAATTAAGGTAGTTGGAATGCGTTGGATCCCTAAACAAATAGTGGCATACCTCTATACAAGAGAGGAACCGTTCTAAGGAGGGTCTCAAAATGAAAGCCACAACATGCAACTCCGTATGTTAGCTCTTGTTGAGAAAAAGGATCGTAATGAGCACCATCCTTGGCAAACGAGAGCTTAAAACATGCTTACCGCATTGGTCGACGATTCCGGTGAAATGGGATCTCCTGCACTGCGTCGACGAACTGCAGTCGGTCGAAATGGGAATTAATGGAGAGCGGTAACGGGTGGTCAAAACAACTGAGTTCAAAAAACATGGCCATAAGAACACAGGGGAAAGTAACTTGGTGTGTAAACTAAAAGAGGCCACTGTATACGTCTTGACTGCTGAATTGACTAGCTTACCAACTTTTAAGACAAGAGGCAACAAACATTCAAAGTACTCATAAGGAGATTCTAGTATTTTTCAAAANCACGACGCCTTCGCATTGACTGGGCTCATCAGATGAACCCACAAGGGTAAATCATAGGGATTCCTTACCAGTTCGTTGTCACCTAAAGAATCAACCACACAGATGGAACCTGTTACGTGGCCTACAAATGTGTTCTTACTTATGCTATTTATCTACACGTGAACATCTGTGTTAGATTATTTAATTCGAGGCATTTCCTGGTGGATAAAATGCTGCTACTCCTGAACAAGGGCGCTTTGTATGCACACTCTGAAGCGAACTCGAAGCTTTCACTTCAAGCAAACATTTGACTAGAACATGTCAAAAATATCACAAAACGCTAAGCACTTAAGTGAGTTCATTCAGAGAGAAAGCACTAACAGAATTGTATGTAAAAACTGGTCCAGAAACTCTGGTACAGAAACGACTGGTTAACAGTCGGCTGGAAAACAGTGTGGACTGGGGAACAAGCGAAATTCCACAAGCATAATAGTCTTCAGGTAGATATCGGAAGGGTTTCACTCAATTAATAAGGTTGTGCGCAAAAGTCTGATGGCTCGACTGTCATCATTGGCAGCAACACTAGATGAGAACACAGGTGCTTCACTGCCATAAACTGTCTGTGGTGGTGGTGGTGGCCGATTCAACCGTAGATATTGCAGCTAACGGCAGTGGGCAGTGAACGGACCTATCAGTCCTTAAAAATGGGCCTACGGAGATGTCGCTAGAAGCGCGGTGAGGAGAGGAAGAAGAAAGAATATTTGGAAGGACAAGGAGAACGTGAGCAGGAGCCCGCTTTCGCTTACCCGCCCTGCTGTATGCAGCAAGTAAGGCGACCCCCCCCCCCCCCGTGGTGACATCGCGCATTGGCCGATGTGGTGTGAGACTATTTGTAAGTGTGTTGTACGTGTTTGTACGTGGGCTGGAATATTATCAGGGTGCTTACAACTAAGACCTTTAGCTCAAAAGCCTAAGTGCAAGGCAGAACTGGTTGGTGTAAGAGCGTTACAGCAGCCTACATCTTTAAGCAGCAAGTTGCCACACACGTTCCAAGCCCCAGTCTGGAGGGTCGAGGGACTGTGTTAGTCTGTCTCTACTCATTGGCCGACCTGGTATGAGAGGCTGTTTCATATGCAAATCCCCAATATAGCCCAATGGCGTATGGAGGTGCACAAACCGTCACGCCGCAGTAAGATCCACTCTTCGTGACTGCCACTGATCGGACACCATTAACTCACAGGCACCACACTCTGCGAGCTACACAAACGACGAATGACACTTATTCGAAGATGGGGATGAAACGCGGAAAGTTGCAATAGGTAAAAGGTTGGTATTCTGTCAAGTAACTAAGACAAGTAATAGACTAAGATTACTGATTACTAAGATTACAGTCGATGGCGAACGAAAACAAGTAAATTGTCCGAACTTACTAACAACTTCTTCCGTACTGGACCTTGACTGGGGTGGATAGATACGGGTATTAACCGCGATTCCATAACTGAACTCTTTGGAAGGTGCTTCTACGCGCGATTGTCCCAATTTCAGCCGGCGATTTTCGTGAGACAAACGCTGACATTGGGACCATTGTTCGGTGTTTAGAATTAGCATCCGGTGAAGCTGACAAGGGAAATAGAACAGCCATGAAGAGAACAACCAGTCAAAAGGCGTCGAGGAACTACTGGCATCCGCACTGCTCATAAGGAAACAACAGAACGACTTGTTCATGACTAAAGGCTACAGGTGAACAATACTTTGATGGAAACGTACATAAAAACCAACAAGCAGCTGCGCACTTCCGAACCAACAGCCAAAACGTGTAGTGGACAAGTGCGTTGCGATAGTTTGTCGTACCAATGGCAATATAATCATCCATTTCTATTTGAAGCGCTAGTCCTGTATTGTTTCTATTGCACACAAGCAAACGAGGAAACTGGCCAAGTAAGATCTGAACCCCGAATAGCTAACCGACACTGGAGAGTATTTAATGACGTCAGATCGCATGGTGATGAAAGGTTTTTGATAGAATTGCCTAGTCCAGCGAACAGACTAACAGCATGTCAACAAGCTGCCTACCATAGTTTGTGCCTAATCACTGCAGCGTCTGCCGGGCTCAGACTTTGTTTCGCTGGATACTGTCGCTTTCGGAAATTGAGCTCAATCGTAATTATTGTGGATCCCTCAAGTATCCGATAAAGAGCACCACTTCAAATGACTGAAGCCGACCATCCGAAAGATATTGTGGGAGTGGATAGCATAAGACCAATAGGCGGAAAATCGGACAGAAGTAAGTAAATACTCACACTAGGGTATGATTTCACAAAATTGAGACGCAACATCACTTTAGCGGGCAGATTCAAGCACTGCGGCGAGGCCAATCATCAAAGACTGGGTTCGACATCAGGGCGCACCCAGTCATCTACGTACCTACGGTGGACTGAACTTTGAGGGCACTCTGACACATGAAATATGCACGATTCCGGATATCGACAAGACTCAAACCAGACGCAATCACCAGCAGAACGGAATGGTTGAACAGGCCAATATATCACTACAGATTCTCCAGAAAGTGTTTGTACAAGGTGTGGAACCAGGATGCCTTCGATAAGCAATTGTCCATAACGACGTTAGGTCGGGCATTTGCATCAGAAAAAGTCCAACAGATGACATCAAGTCCTCGACAAACGCGTCAGATGGTGAAGAACTTTTTAAAAACGACACGATACCAAAAGAATCGAGACGGCAAGGAAGATGACACCTCCTCCCATTAGAACCGATGGAAGTATCTGGCTACGAAACAATATCACCAATTCGAGAGTATCGGCCAAGCTCTAGTCATGGAGGAAACGATTATATATAGTGAGAACATGCCACCGCGATTGTTCATTTAAACCAATCGATACTTAATTAGGGACGAGAATCTAACGAGAAGTTTAAAATGCCATTCTGAATAAAGACAACGACCACAATACCCCATTTCTCGAAAAACATAGAAGATAGGTTCGGTTGAAAATCTGGAGAAGCTAAAACCGATATATGGATAACAGGTCACTGGAATATACTAAACAAAGACCTTGGAGAGCAGTAGTCTCCCAAAGTCAACATACAAGTATATCGAAACCTCGAATCGCCATCCGATCCAGCGAATGTAGCCTAAGCGAAAAGGTGCCACTTTACCTACGAAGCGCAAACAAAACAATTCCATAGGCTTTTAGGTGGCATGAAGCATACGGAACACCCAAAGGCATAAGAACAAAGCACTTGAGTGTATCCCGATGTGAATGCCAGTATTCTGACTTCTTGTCCCAAGATAGGAGAGTAACCGCAACGGATCACGGCAAACCAAGATATATAGAATTAGTATATGTGAGCTGGTTGCCCCATTCTGCTTGTCTTCACGCGTTGTCAAAAGCGCGAAAGACCTACAAACGAACAGCTCTTCTCATTCTGCTGCAGAACCACAACTAATGAGTTGTGTTTATAAGCACAGTCTGAAAACAGTAAACATTAATGATCCACCTCAAAAATTAGTGGTCTGGAAAGACTGGGAAAGAGTAGATGATTGACAACAATGGGCTCGCCGCATGACTGACATTCCCAGCATCAATTAGTACCTATAAAATCGGTTGTGTTGAGCCTGTTTTGACGCATTGATGGCATACTCCCGAAAGAAGCCAGGCCGTCCATCTGTAAATAAGGAAAACCGAGGAACGCTAGGGCGACAAAATCCTACTGCCTCAACTCAGTGGATCACTGGCACCCAGCACTTTTTGTTATCCGGGAGCACATACTCCAGGTGTTGGTGCATGTTTCCATAGCACGGAAACTGAACTATGTCCGTGAATGGCGCAAATTACACAATCAATACATTACATTTAATAGTTTGTAGGGGCGATATACTGAAAACACTCTTAGATGCAGAAAACCGTTCCTGACTTGACCTATGGCAGTGGGCTTAGCTTGCTTCTCCTTAGTATAATCCAACGTAAGAAAAGGTAACTCTCAAGGCTCAAAGATGCCCTTCACATAAGGTACACAGGCACTAAAAAATTCTTCGTTTCCACATGCAAGTAAGTGGAAATTTACAGTATGGTTGAGATACAGCGGAGTTGTTATACTTTTAATTTGAAGATTAAACCTTCAGGCATTCAGAAAATCGTGCTTACCAAAGGGCCGAGAGTGTTTAAGGCGCGTAGAAAGACGGTGCATTATCTCTTTGGGCTTCCGGCTCACTTCGGTGTCTATTCTTTCCACCAGTCGGGTCAAAAAGCTCTACTCGCGTAAGTCAACGGAAACGGAAGAAATCCAGTAATCACCTTCACTGAAACTTTCGAACTAAAGTCCTACGACCGAACTTTTGTCGGACGGGTCTCTTACTCAAAAATCGAACGCAATCCTCAAAAATAAACTTGAAAAAGAATTATTTGAGTGAAAGACGGCTTTATCACTCAATCATATTAAGCTCCGCAAAATATCGGCTGAATTTGTCTTCCATTGTTGTCAAATATTAGTTGGCTCCAAGTTACGCGACAAATTACCTCACATGGAGAGTGGATAATGAAAGTGCGCCTAACATCAGACAAGGATTCAGTCTTAACCTTCATTTTCAATCATCCAGCTTACGCATCAATACTCAGAAAGAAATCGAGAATAGTATTATATGGTGCTATGTCGTTGAAGCTGTAGAGTAGAAGTGTACAAAAACAAATAAGCAAGGCAAACTACAACCACATACAGACTGCTTGTCGTTTACTCCCAAAGTCCTGGCCTACATACACGTCGTATTAGCCAACACCAAACAATCGATTTGGGAACGAGTAAATAATGGTTCAGGGTTCAGCTGGGAAGACTAACCTCCTGGGAGAGAAATTCAGCCTGTTCTTTCCACCAGTGAACCAAGTAGGCGCATTGTGCTCGGGAAAATTGGGTCTGTGGTCCGAACGAGTAGGATAAACGGGTAAATACATAAGTAAAATAGATAAAGAAAACGTCAGATATGTGCGGAAAACAATGTGGTTAAAACCCTCCACCAGTTTTACGTACAATGCTACAATTAATCCGTGAATTCAAGACCAGCAAAGCAGTGTCGCACTTACTGGGGATCATTAACATTCGGTGCGTGATCACAAACCTCCCGTTTTTCACACGAAACAGTCAGAGTTTTATCTATGAATAATCCACCCTAAATTTCATAGCATGTATCAAAGAGTACTTTTGTTTGTGAGGCATCTTCGAACAAGTGAAATAACTCTTGAAAACATCAATCGCAACCCCCTTTGATTATCTTTACGTACTGGACCACGCGTAGCAGCTTCTGTATTGGGAAATATCTGTGGAGCAACATGAGAACTTATGTACAAAGGACGCCCCAGCATCACACGGCTTGTTAGAGGGTGCACCACAGAAAAAAAATCGTCCAGCTGTAGCACCTATTCGGTGCCTAACTTCCATGCCAACAGAAAGAAGCGCGAGGGCTGAAATACCCGCAGGTTGCCCAAGCCTGGACAGGGGAAGTCGAGAGGCAGGGGTCAGGTTCGAACCACGGACCTTCCGGACACTAAATTAGCTCTCTAACCATTGAGCCAACTCAGGCACATCAGGACTTTGCACAACCAAGCGCAGCAGCACTAACCGCCACAGCGGAGGAAATAGGGCGGTATAAGCAACCAATCAAACTCGAGAACGGCAGACCACAACGCAATGCGAATCAAGGCCAGAGAGAACAAGCTACTAAAATTAGGCGTTGGGATAACCAATCAACACAAAGGAATACAGAACACAACGCAACAAAGATCACAAACGGACCAATAGATTCACTAAATTCACTACACTTTAAGTAGCCAATAACGTCAGAAGATAACATATAGCCTTCGACTGCTGTATGATCACACGCAGGCAAGGAAGAAGTACCCACTCATGCAATGATGATGTTTCCTCGTATGGTGACGAACCTTTTGCAAGCCAATTGCCAAGCTCGGCGAACAGATCAACAGCCACCTGATCAACAACCAACAAGCGCAGCAAGTTAGCAGCAAAGACCAGAAGGCCGTTGGATCTTGGAGCGATATTATCCACTTACTGTTAGATCTGACATTTGTTCGAGATCGCATCTTAAACTCTTGCATACCCAGCTCGACCCACAAGGTAGCATGGTTCCAAGGTTGCCGGTGCACGTCACACAGTTCGTACACCTATCCGATAGTACTAATACTAAGTTCGTGATGCACGTGAAACCTATTGATGGCGAAGTAACACTCGCGCTGTCATGATGTCGCCATTGAGTCTATGTGGTATTTTGCGAGAGACCCGATTGTCTTGTTGTTACCCCCACCAGAGAGGCATGCAACGGAGCTCACACCACGGTTAGCACCGTCACACCACGAATGACAAACCGGAAACGCAATATGGGGTGCGGAGGTGGTATTTTGCGAGAGACCCGATTGTCTTTTGTTACCCCCGCCAGAGAGGCATGCAACGGAGCTCACACTACGGTTAGCACCGTCACACCACGAATAACAAACCGGAAACACAATATGGGGTGCGGAAGGCCATCTAAGGTGTCCATTTATGGCTGATTCAGTGCGCCCCACGTTTGATTGCAAGCTGTTTATTTTGTCATCTGCGGAACTTCAGAGAAAAAACTATTCATTAGAATAAATGAGTATATCGGTGTGGGAAACTAAAACGTTATACAATCGCCCCCGTCTGAAGCTGCTCCAATAAGAGGAGACTAGTTAATCTGGTTACTTAAACCATATGTAAGTAATAAGATATCTCCAAGAAAGATACTTGGCCCGGTTCTTCTGAGAACAACTTCAACACAAGTTTATTCAGCATGTTTGAAGCAGGAAAATATATGCGACTAAAAGAGCCATCAGACTAAGTACAGATAGGTGCAGCTAAATGTGACATTCCTTAGCATTTGTTCCACACTTCGAGCATTCGAAGAATCTTTGTTGCATGAGGGCTGACCACTGAGCAAGAATGATGGCTGGTCATCCATCTATGAATGTCTCCTGTAAAAGGATATCAAGGAGGAAGGATTGATTGGCCTTCCATAGGTGTACTCTCACGTTGAAAAATTTATCTTCGAATTTAGTTGACAAAAATGTTATTGCGGTCTGTTCAGATTTCCTGCTGCTCGGACTAACCTTTTTGAGAGATTACCGCAGTGTGAGGAGTTCAGAAATACCATGAGTTTCAAACACAACGACCTGTAAAAGTATTTGCTGAAAAAAAGTAAGATTACGCAGCACTCACTTGAGCAGGGTCATCATTCACCGCTGGGCCCATCCCAATGAATTCTGACCTAAATTCGGTGTCTGGAAAGTAGAGGAAATAGCGTCAGCTGGACAGCATAGTTCAAAACTCCAATCACTAGCCACACAGTGAAAAAAAACATTGACAAAAAACATAACTGGCTATGTTATGGAATCGCCAGAAGCAACGAAGCTGAGTTAGTGAAAGTAGTTTGATTAAGCACGTTAAATAGGTACTCTGAGATGCACCATGACCCACAATGGAAGGGAACCCGTCCATTAAATTTTGGCTCTTAATTCCGTGATAATATTTATTCATACCGATGGCCAAACCTTTAACATTCTCCATTTTATTTTTTTAGACAGTGAGCTCGAGATAATGGAAAGTAGCAATGATTAGGGCTTTCTGGGTTCTCTAAAGTTTTTCACTGATCAAATATCACCTAAAGGTAGGTATTGTTACGAAATAAATGGTACCGAAGTGTTGAGAGTTTGTTTGAAACAATGCCGCTGTGAGGAAGCTAGACCATATTGTGGCGTAACAGTCTGTGAAACTCAAGAACCGCCCTCCCGCAGAGCTCTACTGGGAGTACCTTTATGTTAGTCACAGAGCAGCACATGGCACATTGGTCATTGGATAAAAATCCAATAAGCGTGGTGCACTCGTTCTCCAGGTCATGATTTGGAAATACAGTGCAGTGTCTCTTACATTTTATACTGTGATGACGGCCAACTAAGGCTAAACAGTCAGGTCTCTATCAAGCGTTCTGGTTGTTTTGCTGTGTTGTAGCACTGCAGTACCATCTCAGTGCTGGTAAAATAACCAACCAACCAAATAACTGTAGTATCAATAAGAGGCAATGATGTGGTGTAACAGACACAAACATGAACCAGAATTTGTATAATGTGTGTACTTCCGGTGTTCGGAATTCTAAGGTGGTGGAATAACTAACAAGCGAGTAATGGGCTGATTACGCTTAACAATGAGCAAGATTAGTAGAACCCCCCCCCCCCCAAACCCGAATTGCAGACAACGCTGCAGTTGCTGCCCACTTGGACGCGTGACACTGGACGGAATGAGCCTTCAAGTGGAGACAGGCAGATACGACCAAGTCACAACGTAACAGCAAACGTGCCACCTGGTTACTAGTTGCGGCATAGTTCCACCCGCAAATACTCCATAAAGGACGTACCCATACTGAGTATACAATCAATAATGAATCTCCACTTTTGCACCAAGCAGTCATACTCCATGCATAGACATCCCAACCCCGCATCATCCGTGGAACAAAGTGAAGTAACTGAGAAAAAAACAAATATCATGCGTACCGTTTTTAGCTGATGACGATAAGTGATCTTACCTTAACAGAGCACAACGGCGAGGAACGTGTGTGATAATCTGGTTAGGCGCTCCAAACCGGAGAAGTGACCCAAATTTTGAAATAACCACATACTTCGTATGCTGAACAACATTAGAAAAAATCACACAGACAGTGCGCTTACTAGGTATTCCGGAGGATGCTTACCTAACGAGCCAGTGTCGGATTCCAAGGGGGACGACTCCGAAAGACAGCGCTCAACAGAGGAAGAGCCAGGTGTCTTTGAGGCGGCAGGTTCCGGTGTCGAAGCAATGTTAGATGGAGACTGGTGAGATTGCTGGTGTTCCAATTGCTTGATAGTTCGACTGGCCAACTCGAGGGCTTTTCGTGTCCGACGTAGTTCGTCCCGCAAGTGATTTCGCTCATCGCGAACCAGCGCCCACTTCTCACGCCAGCTAGCTGTACAGTCTGACCACCAGCGCATGGTCTTTTCCAGTTGAACCGTTCGTAGCCTAGCCTGAAGCATGCATAAGCGAGCTGCACTATGAAGCTAAGTATTTTCGAATGTTAGAAAAATCAGTAAACATTGTTCGGCCTGTTTGCCCCCCAATGTGGTTATTCAATTGAACTGTTCCGGGCCACGCATTGTAACTGACTGCAAACACCGGTTACATAACCCTAGTGACGGGAAAAGACTCACTCAACAAGAATTGGACAACTTCATCATAAACGCGGACGCGTAAAGTTACAAGGTACTCAAAGCGCACTTTTAGTCTCCGGTCAAAGCTGTCCGATCGGTAGTAATTGGTTGGCATCGTTTCTGGGACATGATCTGAATATCGTCGGTCTCGCTGACCGAATGCTTGAACGTCCAATAGGAATTTAGTTTTTACAATCTATAGGCATACCAGTCTTTCTGAAGCGATTCCAGCGAACTCGGCGTTTCACTGTAGTTTTCGGATGTATTAACGTTATTTTCAGGTCGACCTTCCTGGACCACGGACTCGTAGTTACCGGCTAATTCACGGTTGAAATCGAAAACACTGCCGACAATATATCCGGCCACATCAGCGGTTTATCTGCACTTGGCCTAGCCGATACCTCAGCTAGGGAATGAACGTCCTTCGGAAAATGGTAAGTTGAAACTAGGATTGTGGGCAATGAATCAAGATGAAGCAGCCATAGACTTCTCGAAAATCACCCATGTTTTTTCTTACTAGGGTACACCTTGATTTAGTATGGTTAGGAGATACAGAATGGCTCATTTGCAATGGCCGGCTGGTGAAGATCATCCAAGATCCGTTGGCAAGACTCCGTTGGGCACAAGCAGAGGCAACCAAAACATGGCGCCTTTACTCATTTACCAATTAATCATTTACCAACTCAAAAGCTTTTTGAACATTCAACCGAAGACAATGTTTAAAAACCTCGGTTCACAAAACGTCTCTATTAGACATCATTCGGAAAAAAACCCGACAAGCAGTCTACTGAGACAGCCACAAGGCTGTTATTCGAAGTGTTCAATTCAGTTCACTTTTCAATTACAAGCCGTGCTAAGGGTGTGTTGTGTCCATCTGCTGCAGTTTCGGTCAGCGGTCAGTGTGAGTGGCTCATCCATCGCGGGAGAATTTTTTCTTGAAACCACACGGCAGACCTCCGTACTGCTAATCCAATGCTCCCGCCAGACCCAACCAAAGCCTCGAAGAAACCGATGGTCAAAAGCCGAGTTTCCCCACGAGTTCCTGCACGTGGGTACCACGATTCTGCTCCATAAACCAATATGCATCGCACTGCTGCAGTGTAAACTCTGCCTTTGGAAGATAGGTGGACGTCATATTAGTGTCATGGGTGTCGAAAATCGGCGAAAGATGCCATGAAATTCCTGATTTGAGAAGTAATCTCATCTCCAGGAAGTTTATAGAAACAAGCGCCAAGGTAAGCAATCTTTTCTGTCAAGTCAATCGGCTTGTATTCAAACTTGAGATTCGGGTGTGATCTCACCCAGTCCAATCTAGCACTTTATACTTAGAGGATTTGCGCCGCATGCCATATTGTGCGGCAGAATCGTTTACTCAATGCGCCAAAAGCATTCCAATTCCCGAGGTTTTAGAGACAGGCGGAGAAGTTTCAAGCGTCACACCATTGACGAAGTTGAATAGGGATGGCGAGAAGGTCCATCTTGTCTAATATCCCTGGATGTGGGGATCTCAGGCGAAAGATGCCCTATGTGCACACCGGATTTTGTATGCGGTAACCGGATTAGCTATAAAAATTCAGAAGATACCCCTTATTACCAGGCACCATCACAGTTCCTGGCAATCTGTGGAAAGCAAAAAGATAGATCACAGGATTACAGCAATCTACAACGGGAATACCGTAAATCACAACTAATAGAACATACCTCCTCCAACTCTTTTTCATGGTGTTTGAGCTCCCCCGAATTTGGGTGAGAGCTGACTGGTGCCATTGTTCCCCTACTGCGTGGATCTGGGTAATGGGCAACTAATTTGCTGTTGACTGGAGATTGAGAGACACGCTCCACCGGGACACTGTGTTGGCGACTGGTCACAACTGGTGGACCTGATGGGGGCGCTATATGCCACATCAGCGAAAAAGATCCACGAAAGCGTCACACTGCGCAAGGATTTTGAGGAGATCCTGAAACAGAAAACTAACAGTACAGTGACCAAAAGCCAAACAAGATAGTTGCGACTGAACTTACTGCAATTCAATTCAGTTTATCAGCTATAAACCGTGTACCATAGCATTGGTTCCGGCTGCCACAGTTTCGATCACCAGAAAACGAGAAAACGGAACATAGAACTGAGCCGTGCAGGCGAAGGCATGTTCTGTCTGTTCAGAAATTGAGTAGCCACGCAGTGAAGTCGATAGCCTTGATGCGAGAGCGCCACTGACTGCGCAACTGGCTGATTTCTGCCAGTGTCATCAACCAATGGAGAGTTGAGTTGAGAGTTCAACCGTTCTTGGAAGTGCCCGGCCCATCGCTCAAGACGGCGATTGAGGTAATGAATTGCTGTTCCGTCTTTTTCACATATCGTCTCACTGACATCTGCCTTGCTTTGACCGGTTGATCGGATCAGTTGAAACAGGGCGTGGCTGTTGCCAGCAGCGAAATCCTCTTCCATCTCCTAGGCTTTCGAAGTCCACCAGCGTTCTCCGTCATTCTTCAAGCTGCTGACATTCCGATATTCGAGGGATATGCGTGCGCCATCAAATTCGCTAGTTGCTCGTATGGCCCAACTGGTAGAAATAAGATCTGCTGATCTCGAAGACATCCAGTGTTCATTGAATCGAATCATATGGGCCGGACAAGCAGTTATGAAATCTGACAGCATTGCTTCTTTAACTCGCCTCCATTAATCCTCCAAGCAATCCTCGTCGTCTAAATTACTGTGCGTTTCCAGTACTTTCTAGCCAGATCAGCTCGATACTCTTAAGCTACTAAAACTTGTCGAAGTTGGTGAACGGAGCAGCTCCCTTTCGGCACGCGTAGTGCATGTGGAATATGAAGCGCTACGCGGGCTTGCACGATGGCGTGATTAGAGTCAAGTTGCGTACCCCAGAAAGAACGAAAATCCTTAACTGAGGCTCCCCGTCGATAACTCATAACCACATGGTCCAGTTGAGTCCACGACTGTCTTGTGGCAGGTGGCCTCGAGGTAACTCGGTGTGTTTGTTTTGGAAGTCCGTACTGGCCAGGAACAGACGGTGATCTGCACACAATTGAAGAAGCCACTCTCCATTATGTCACCCATGCTAAGCTTAAACATGCCATGAATGAACAGCATATTCGCTGTACAGGCATATGTAGTTATTGTAGATTTGAGAGGGAACAAGGAAAAACCCAGCCTACCTCATCCAAACACGGGATCTATGATAAGACTGTGTCTTTGCTGGAGACCCGGCGACAGATTCCTCCTGATCGCAACCACAACTCCACTCGACACATCATCCGACGGCAGGTGAAACTGGATATTCATAGAGACAGAGAATCTTGGTGGACCCAAAAGGCCGGAGAAATGGAAGATGCAAAGAATGCTGTAAACGTCCGCAAGCTGTTCAACTTGAGTTGGCCGAATGTTTCTTGGAAACCTCTTGTCCGTGAAATAATCAGGGATCAAAATGGCTCCCTGAGAAACAGCAGAGCGGAATGTTTTGACCACTGGGCCCAGTAGTTCGAACAACAAATCAGCTGGCCACCTGCTACATACAATCCGGAATCATGTCCTTCAACAGAAGAATGAACTTTGAATATGGAGCCACCTTCAGTCTCAGAAGCGTTTAGGTGCATTTCTGTACTCAAACGTCATCATGCTGTTGGTCCTGACGACCTTCCACCTGCTCCTTTCAAGGATGGTGGTGGGCTTCTCATCCAGCGCCTGCCTAGCCTATTTGGGTCTATCTTGGAGAAAGAGACCATCCCAGACAATGAAGGTGAATCGGTAGTAGTGCTATTTTCAAAAAGAATACTCGCAGTGGATGTAGTAACCAGAGGTGTTAGTTTGACTCCTGACATAAGGAGGCTTCTCGCGTCACCTTACCGTGGCACCCAAAACCTGGACTCGTAAAATCAAGCGGGATTTCAACCCTCTAAGGGCCAAGCTAACCACAACTTCACACTCCGTCAGATGTTAGAACAACACCACATGTGTAGACAACCAACAATCTTGATGATCCTTGACTTCAAGGGTGCTTCTGACTCTACCAATCGGTCAGTGTTGTTGACTACACTTGATAAACAGGATATTCTCCAGAAGTTTGTGAACATAATCCGATCCCTATATTCGCAGACTTCTGGGCGTGAGTTTCACGAGCTCTCCAGAAGCTTCTCTGCAAAGAGTAATGTCTCACAAGGATGTCCACTCTCTCCATTTTCGTTCAACTTCAAAACCCTGGTGTTTAAATTTTTGCTGGTGAAAGCCTTGTCGATCGATATCGATCTCGTATTCGAAGACCAAAGCGGAGCATAAACCCTGCTGAATAGACGGGACACCATCATACCATTTTTGGCATGCGCCTTGCACCTTCAAATTCACGCTTTAGAACGTGCAGTCTCTGAACATACCCTTACAATTCAAGGGGAATCACTGGATGCTGTGAAGAATTTTACATACATCGGTAGTTGTACTAGCTGACAGAAATGTGTCTGAAGTCAGTGCGAGAATTTAAAAGGCCCGAATCACGTTTGCTAATTCGCGTCAGAAAGGCATACAACTAGATCTTGGGGATCGTGTGTGCTAGGCTACAGTAAGGGCTGTGTTGTTATTTGAGTGCGAGAAATGGCCTCTGTGGAGATATTGTGTGAGGCGTCTTCAGGTTTTTGACCACCGATGCCTCGGAGGTATGGCTGGTTTTGGATGGCGTCAGCGCGTTAGTAACGAGGTGATTATAAAACGGGTATTAGGTTGTGCGGCAGTTACTTCAGTCGGAGAAAACAACCAGCACCACCGACCACAATGGCTCCGTCGTGATACGTTTGCCGAAATACCGTCTACAGAGACGAGTGTTATTTTCCGTGCCTCTAGAATGGTGCGAACCGCGAGGTGAACAACGTAGGACTTGGCAAAATGGCCTGAAAGAGATCACTAAGAGCTTGGATGTTATTGGTATTGTACCCCCCCCCCCACAATGGGGCCCCGTGATCCAGCCTGAGCCTGACTGGAGACATTGCGAGAAATGGCGGCTAATAGATGTCAGCGGCGCTCTTGTTGTCACAGTATTTTTCAGACTGTCTGATTGAGCGGCAACTCAGAATGCTTGACACGGACCCCTTCCTGGAAAGCTTTAAATATAATGAGATGAACCTTATGGTTGCACAGCAGTTAAACCGGTGTTAACACTAACGACGCTGTCTGTGTTGATGATGAGGAGCAGGATTCTGACACTGCTCTGCTGCGGGGCTATCCGGGCAGTCAACCAAATGGCACGGTGATGGGTATATATATATATATATATATATATATATATAT